AACGCATTTTGAGCTCTACCCTGCAGTCTTAAAGTTTTCAAAGTCACGTTGAAAGGCTTTTGTAGGTTCCCATGATTCCTCTGCTTTTCAATAAAAATTGTAAAACACCAATTTTGTATTATCCCAAGTACTCGATAGATACATACAGATCTATTCAGACTAGCCTGAGAGCATTTGCTAGGGTCACAGTGCATCCCCATAAATTGATAATTAAGTTTGGACTACCAACTTTGGACACTACCTAATTCAAACACCTAATTTCTCAGTTCCAGAACTGAGATTTTAACTACTAGCATTGATTACTATTGTAGAGACTATGGTGGTGGTAAATAATAGTACTCTATTTATTAATTAGTAATAATGGATTGACAATGCGTGGTGGCGATAAAGCCTACGAATATAGATAGATCAACTACAACTACAACTTAACAACACAATTACAACTCGACTGTTTCAACTAAAATACAACTCTCTTCCAATCACTCTTCCCAAGGACTCTTTCTAAAAACTCTACACTATGATGGAACCTGACTATAATTGTCAGAATTTGATTTTAATCTTCAACTTAGGGGTTCCAGTGGCACCTGATTCGAGTAGCTGACTGATTAGACTCTTTAGTTGAGACTCTATAGACTGACTGGTTTCATTTTTTGATTAAAGCTCCATAAAGTGACAGATTCAATCTGCAGATTGGGAGTCTGTAAAGTGAGTGATTCTACTTCATCTCTGAAACTCCATAACATGGCTGATTTAGTCTCCAGATTGGAACACCATAAACTGGCTCAACCTGCTGATAGAGAATTCATAAATCGATTTAGTTTCCTATCTGAAGCTGTCAGCCTAGATGACACGTTTGAACTGCGAGAATTAGATTATTCTAAGATGAAGTGTCCTGAGGATAGGTTGAATATTTTACACCGGTTTTATATTTGAACGAATGTCTTCATTAGAGTGGAATGATTTAATAGCATAGTTTGAAAGGATTGGAACAGTTAACACAAATGAATCGTCGTACTGAACTGAGCTGCAGAACTCGACTGCTGGCTAAACAGCCTGATTGAGACTAATTGACTAATTGAGATGGATCGAGACTCTTCACTGAGCCTGATCTAAACTGGCTGATAAGCTGGAGCTGAATGTCTGAACTAAACTGGATCTTCTTTGGCTAAACTTTGTTCTCTCACGTTTAAAGTGTTACCTTTTTGGATAAAATTTCAAGGATTGTTCAAGGTTCAAGGTTCAAGGTTGGTCAGGTTTCTCAACAGCAATTGGCTAGAAAGGAAGTACCATAGAAAGTACTATAAAATATACTATGAATACTGATTTTTACCAAAATTGTAAGGAAAAATGAGAGAAAGAAACGAAGAAATAAACAGCTGATTAGGTGTCTGTGTCCCAAAATAATTTGTGAAAGCTAGGGTGAACTAACTCTGAGGATTTATGAGATAATTTTTATATTTGCTATAGCTTCTAGGTCCTAATAACTTACTCTTGCCTCTCTGGTCAATTAGAACACCTAATTTTTCACAGGAACTATTTGATTTATGTTGTAAATGTTTATTATCAAGATATATCTCATAAATGTTCTAATAATGAAAGAAATGGTTCCTTAAAGTCAAAATACAAGCCCTAGCATAACATTTTCGAATTATCAAATGCTTTAGACACTATAGCACGGGATAAACTATAATAAGAACAGACACTAATGTCATTTAGATATCCGAATAATGGAAAATGAATTTTAGGTGGCATAATCAGCAATGGATATACATTTATGACATAATCAGCAATGAATATACATTTATAACATAATCAGCAGAACATGTTTATGACAACACTCGAATTTGTAATTTTTATACTCGATATAGTTTCAACAATTTTACAGGGTTCACAATTTTAATTGCACCTTATACTATACAATAATTTTTAAACACTTCTGTGAATCTAGAATTTTAAAAAGCATGTACCATTGTGGTTTCATTTGAATATTTTCCATTTAAACTATTTTACTATAAACCGGGTTCACATCCATCGAAATAGATAAATAAAAATCGTCCAATAAGAGGAATAAATAAACAAATAATTTAAATTAGGTAAGGCAAGTAATACCATCGACGAGTAGGTTGTAGGTTAGGTTTACTATTAAGTAAATTAGTATAGTAGGAGGTTGGAGGGTTCATAATCCGTGTCGAAATCTTATCAGCGATGACATGGCGTGGAAACTCTCGAACCCGCCAGAAACAATCCTGTCTTTGGGCGATTTGTGTAATAAATTCTCGTAACAACTTGGGGCGGTAGTTGCAGGAAGTGCCTCGAAGCTTAGGTTTCGGCCCGTTTCCGGTTAATTAAAGCGAATTTATTAACTCGAGGCTGTTCCAGCCTCGATGCCACGATTGAAAAGCAATTCCGTTGTGCAGGCGTTCGGATCATCCTGTTTCATGATTTCGTCGCGAGGATTTTTAGAATTTATGGAATTATCAATGGAATCCGTTAGGAGACGCTAGATTCTCTGAATATTCCATCAGTAAGAAGCTGGAAATTCTGTCGTTCTGCAGGTTCGATGAGAAAAATTTGAATAATTCATAAAATTATAAACAAACTAATATAAATATTCTATTATTCTTTCATCGATAGTTCTGAAATCCATCAAAATTCAACAATGCATCGGACAATTGATCCATGGAATTTCATAACTGAAAAATACGACCGGAAAAACCTTTATAAACCATAAAACTATGAATTAAATTCTTTATTTACGGTATATTCGTACTTATTACTTCAACATACGAGCTTTTTCTCATTTTATGTAGTAAAATTTCATGGTACACAGAATGGCTTGAAAACTTTATATTAATGAATCTCATCAGCAAACTTTATACGTGTATTACCGTGGGACGTCATTCTGCGTCCATCAAAACTTAACATTCCACCATAATATTTAGCTTCTTTTAACTCATATGCAAGTTTTCACGATTTTCGACGATAATTCATTAAATCATCGATAAAGATATCTAACAGGTTCTTTAGAGGAAACATTTTCTAAAATTTCACCATAAGAACTATACTCGAAGTGTCTTCACTACTTTCCTTCAATGAAGTATACTGAAAATAGTATTCAATAAATTCGAGGAAACAGGAAAATAGAAAATGAATGATCTGCACCTAGTTCAATTATTATAGTAATTTCGTGTTTTGTCGATTCGAACTTTCTACAAACTGGAGTACCAAATTTATGTACTGTCTAGGAGTCCAAGACAGTTTTAGAATCCTGTCCAGTTTACTATGCTCTGAAAGTACAGTCCACTTTGACACTTCATTGTATTTTGTTCATAGATTTCTGTTCATATTTATTACTATATTTGCAATCTTTTATAAAATCGTGATTTTATATACAGAAAGTTGAAACAAAGGAAGATCCTATTTAACTGTGTCAATCAAAAAGTGTGTAACCCTCTATCGAATTAAATATATTTTAATGAATTGATGGTCCTTCTCACTTATCTTCTAGACCTCAAAGTTAGACGTGTCATTCATGTCCATTAAATTCCCGATGAAGTAATAATGTGGCTATTTTCGATGAACTTGGTATGTCAAAGAAGTAGTTAAATAGTAGTTAAGTAGTAGAAAGTGACAGCAAATATCCGTGTCTGCATGAGAGACCCTATGATCTATTGGGATCCACTATACTAAACGGACTGAGAGTCAATCTCAGTCGATGAGATCGAGTCAGATCTACCATCGAGTTAGGTCGAGTTTTTAATTTCTGGGAACGTCGTTATTTTCCAAAACTGCGAACGCAGAACGAGCAATCATCGAAGGCTCAGGATAGGCCAGCCCGAGAGAATATTTCGTCCAGGGAGCGACTGCACCCAGCTGTCAAGCGTACAGAGCCACGCTTTTCTCTCTTTAATCACGCTGGATGATTGGACAGGATAGGATTCGTTGACCAAAGAGTTTCCATTATCGGGCAGGAATGGAAAACTGGTCTGGCTGGCCGATGTTCGACGTTTCGACACGATTGTTCCCTGATTCGATTGGGTCCCAGCCATTATCGTCGTGAATGGAAGGAAAAATAGAAAATGGGAAAAAGTAGACGGTATGGGTTTTGCAGGTAACCTTTCACGTCAAGCTAACTGAAATCCCTTGACTCAGGAGCCAGCCAGGCGTCGAGAGTTAGATAGATCAGGGGACAATCTCGGTTTACGTGGAAAACTACACCACAACTTTGCAATGCAGAGATCCAATCTGCATTCTGAAGCGGGAAAAGGTCGGATAGAGTCACCGACAGTGAAATAATCGTGTTGGGAAGTCAGACTGGTCTTGGGTTAATTAATTTTCAGCCGTGGGTCAGCATTCGTCGTTGAATCTTTCTCCAGCAGTTCCTCGACTGCTCCCTGAACAGAAGGTTCGTTGGACTGGATTAAAGCAGTCTCCTTTGACGGTGGACAGGTCTGCCCAATGGGATTCTCAACGATTCGAATGACTTTCGCAAAGGAAGCTGACCCGGTATCAAAGAGACATCGAGGGATTTAAATTATTTTAAATCTAGATTGAATGCCGTTAATTAAAGATCATCGAGAGCCAGACTCTCACCTTAAGAACGTCGAGGAGTTTCGACTACACCAGGTTTCGACTACACCAGGTTTCGAGTAAAACATATCAAACAATGGTCTCGATGAAGAGGAGCATATTTTTCAAGGGATAAATGAGACTCGAAATATGATGATGAGATAGAGAATATAATCACGAATCGTCGATACGTATGGTAATACTTTCCAATATTTAGTTTCTCTTAAATTAAATCTAAATTCATCAAAGTTTGTGAAAATGATTAAAATATTTCGTATGTGGAATACTATCATCTCTTCCTCGTGAGAAATTTTGTCACGTAAGAATTGTTTTTGGAGTATATCCTGAGTAAATAAATAATTTGTCTACATTATACTACATAATTTGTCTACATATATATAGGTACATTTATGGAAATGTTTGTTACTTACCTTCACGTTGCCATACTTCCAAGTGAAAAGGACGACTGCTGGGAGACAGGCGATGACACAGCATTCCAGAATGAGGATGGCGGTCCTCATCAGCCAGTTCAAGGACACCACGCAAGGCGAATCATCCTCACAGGATTCGCAACCCTCCGCACAGGGAAGACACTCGAACACTCCGTTCACGTCATACTGGCTCTCCTCTCCCTATGAACAATACAACCCCCCCAAAAAGGTTATACGAAAGAATAACAGGGAGCATACGTACAAAATAATACATAAACATTATATATTTCCATAAAAACAAGGAGAAAATCGGTTTTCAAATAAGGCAGTAGCAAGCTTTAAAATGGTAGCATAAAAACATTTTTTAACGTTAGTAATTCATTATGGCGGGGATCCTACCTGCACACACTGTTCCTCCGTATCATATGAGGGTATTATTCATCATTCATTAATTGTGAAATTAGTTACCACCAGAGCTACCAAGGAATTAAGACCACGATGGACCATTAAAACTTGGGATTCTTATTCCCCGCGTAACTCCGCCACACGTCACCCTAGTAAACTTCTCCTTACACCCTCAGAAGCCCGGAAGCTTCCCCTTTAAAGTGGTTTTCGTTTCATCCCGATATGGCTCTCCGTTACCGAGATATCGTCGCTTAAATCGGACCGCAATTTTCCATGCCTGACTAGCGCTGTCTACCTCGCACGCTCGGATTTCCCACTCGCACACTCGGCCTTTCACTCGCACGCTTGGACCTCTCACTCGCACGCATCACTGACCTATTCCCCCTCCCGCCAACCATTGAAGGGTGCCGACTCAGCGGGTTTTTTACTATACTGAGGCGCGCTCGTACGCATTTCCCGGAAAAGAGTGGTGGGTGGAGCTTAATTCCGGGAATCTCGGCGGCACATCAATGGTAAACTTTAAAGGCTCGTATCTCGGGAACGGATAGGCGTATCAACTTAAAATTAAGCGCGTTTGAAAGCGTACAGCCCCCTCTATACCCTGAGCGTAATTTCGTTGGAAAATTGACTATTTTTCGCAACTTATTTCACGATGAAACTTCGCACCGAGTCGACCCATTCCCAATAAATTCTCCACGGTTTTGGAAATTTTATCCTCGGATATTTCAAATGGATATATACGTCCAGCGAGATTCGTATTTTATCGAAAAGGGTTTTAGCGGAATCCAAGTCCACGTAAATCATGTTATCGCTTTCCAGAGCACCCATACGAGATTTCATGGCATCCATTAACATTCGACGACTGTTCTCTCATTCTTAATCTCATCGACGGCTATAATTCATCCATGTTGCAGTTCGGTTCATTAACGTTCGGTGTTGAACGTGGCGCCATGAAAACGAATGTCTCCCACTGAAACAAATATCCCCATAAGCGATTGGCGATGCGCGACTACTTCCGAGCAGCTACAAATCACACAGCCGTAAATCGTATTCACGATCGGGACTTAAGTTGGGGGCAATTTATCGTTGTAACAAATCACAGTCGGTGGCGTTATGGTTTAGGATATTAAGGGCAAGTAACTACGCCCAGTTGCCACTTCCATGTTTGGTAAATGAACCTCGCTGCGCATCTTATTAAGGAATAATATACTTCCACTCAGACAAGGTTCCATCTGTCGTATCATGCAATTTATTGCCCTGAAGAAAATTTATTAATCCTCTAATTATACGAGAGTCGTATTTTGCATATCAATTTTATAACCGTGCCATGAATTTTCTCAACGACTCTCCAAGTAATTATCAGCATCGATCCTACTTCACTTTCTGTGGTACTTCATATTTGCTCTTTAATTTATTATTCATTTTTATTATATTTTTATGTAACGATGGAAACTGTACTGCGAACACTGAGCCACAGAAGCATTCGTAGTCTTCCAATAATAGCCTAATTCCAATGATTACTATTGTTTTGCAAAATGAACATCGAAATCCTGATCGGTGAGAACAATTCGTATGGAACAAAGCCAAACGTTAAACAAGATTAAATTCGTGAATATTTCCATTTCTACCTATGACAAATGGCTATACTAATGTTGTTACAATATTAATTCTACGACACTTTACGTTAATTCTTAATTGTGCTACCACGAATTTTTATTTTGCAATAAAGGTTCTATCAATTGACAATTTAATTAACATAATTATAGTTTAATTAATATTTTAATAAGAAAGGATGCTGAGTGTTATGGGGTACGAATATTTCTATAATTCACTGTACGAATAAATAAGTATTAAAATGAACAATTTTGCCGAATATATTCAGATTTATTTTCAAATAATCGTGAATTTGTGTTTTACGAAAGTGTGAATGGCGGGGAAAGATTGACATATACGGGATGACTATCATCGGAGATGAAATGAGCATTGAATCAGGACGATCAGTTATTTGAAGATAATTCTAGTGAATTTACGTGTGTCGTATGAAATCAGGCCCGTATGCAACGGATCGTTGACCACGTGATGTATCAAACTTGTCACTGGACTGAACACTATTCTGTCTTGCTTTTAAACTCGTTATATAATTGCTAAAATTGTCAATTTAACGAACAAATATATTTATTTTCCGAAATATTTATCTACGACTAATATTTCTCTAAAAATTTGTTTGTCGAACAAATTTTTGGAAATGTATATTCACGTGGAAATCGAACTCTCAATTCTACACGTCATGTTGACTTAAGGAATGTAACCATCCAGAGTTTCCCAACAATCCACGTTTGTTTGTCGTCCCTGATAGTCAACAGTGACGTAGCAACAACTTCATGAAACCTCGCTCTCGGTAATTCTAAGCAACTTAGAACGGTTTGGTGTGTACTTGAGCAATTATGCTAGGAAAGCACTTGAAATTCATGACAGACGCACCCTAAGACGCTCGACAGTCTAATTTAATTATTAGCTTAGGGAATATGAAATATCGCTACTTTGGAATTTCAATTTCACGGGCCAGTGGATAAATTTTGACCTGTCGCTAACTATGGTGAAGATCAAGGAAAAAGAAATTTCCTATGACGTGTGTATTGAATAATAAGAAGGTTTATATTACAAGATATGTGCGAGACATGTAATGGGACAAATATTTTATCATTAATAGCTATAAATAATCAGAAATCAAATAATTATTATAGTATATGAATCAAAATTTAGAACAATTCACACAAAAGTTACTATAAATATAAATTAAGACAGATATTAATAATTAATTTTATTCTATTATTAATTTTTATGAATGAAATTATTTGTTTATTACTATTGCACATATTATTATATACTACATTTACTATATATCACTGTGTACTATGTATTTGATATATAGTAATATGCTGTTACTACAATATATATATATATATAGAAATATATTGAAGTAACAACATATTACTATGTATACTATATATTACTATATAGTACGATAGTGTACAGAATGATATATACATACAAAATTGTATGTGTATTATTATATATAAAACGAAATTTAGAACAACTGACACAAAAGTTACTAGAAATATAAATTAAGATAGATATTATTAATTGATTTCATTCTATTATTAATTTTTAGAATGAAATAATTTTTATACTGCAGATACTATTATATTGTGCGTATTTACTACACACCAGAGTGTACTATATATTTGCTGTCTAGTACTATGCTGTTACTACAATATGCTTCTAAATACAATGTACACTATATAGTAGTATAGTATACAAGCTGAGTCACGCAATTGGGACTGATTCTATCTCGAATCTGGCAACAGATAGAAGAAAACAGAAAAAGAAATAAATAAATGGCAGATAGCCTCTATTTTTCGTGGTTTCACTTTTTCCTTGACTGCAACGATATTCCCAAAAAATACAAAATCAAATCCATTTCTGTTTTATATTTATAGATTCTTCTTGCCATTCTGTGTGAAAAATCATTAAGATACTATGTTGAAAAAATCTATATTTCATGATATATGATATCATAAAATATACTATAATTAACATCATAATTAATATCATATAGAAAGACTAGATACTACGAAATTGAATCATTGCATATAGAATCTTTACAAAAATAAGTTTATTAACCCTTTGCACTCGACGATTTTTTAGCTAGAGAGAGTAGAAATTCAAAGATTCTCTACTAAAAAACTGACGATACTTTTTTGAGTAGTAAATAAAGGATTATATAATAATAGAATTGTAGAATTACTTGATTTCGATACCTCGCACACTCGTTACATTACATTAAATTTGATACATTAATTAATATCGATCTTCCAAATTTTATGAAATGGTGACTGAAAATCACCTCTCGAGTGCAAAGGGTTATATTACACCCTTAATTTCGAAAATTTTCTACAAGATTTGAATTTCCTTCTTCTTCCTTAATTTTCAATTTTGCCAAATAAAAACCGGAAAATGCGAATTGTCTTTTTGTCTCAGTTTCATGGACTGAGAAGATTGTCTTATCACGAGAAGTAGTGTCTTTAGGGTGTCTTTAGAAGTAGGGTGTGCTTTAATCATTCTTTCGCGAATGTTCATTATGATCCGCGTTATTGTCTGACACTTTGCATTGTCTACCTTCAACTGTTTCTCTGTCGAATCGAGCAAAGGGACTGCGAGTACTTGAACGCCAGCTTTGTTGCGATTTTAATACCCAGGAATACAGGCTGCGTCGGATTTGTTAGTCATATTATTAACACGTCCGCGAACGGAATGTAGTTTACTCTTAATTGAACTCGTGGAACGTTTCGAAATGCGCAATGAAGTTAATTAAAAATTTGTTTTCAACCGGATGAGATTTCAAAAGAGAATAATGTATTATGTAATGCGAGAGGGAAGAGGACAGCGAGATGGAAAAGTGTGAACGAAACAGCTGATTTCGCGCCAGAAAATATTTTTCAACGAGAAAATGAAACATCGCGTGGGTGAACGTCATTTAATCATCGAATGCAAATTAGTTCGAGCTGAAATTTCGAATATGTACGAGATAATGGAATATCGAATCAATAGTGAATTTTTCTGCGTCAAAATTTTTCAGCAGAATTTAAAAATTCGGGATCCTCTTTAAAAACGGAAACAAATGCAAAATATATTTATTTCGTGCATTTTGTATGTGGTATTTATTTTATTGACGTTTATGATAAATTTTCAACCGAGTCTTTTGTATTTAATATTTAATTGTTTGATATTAATAT